TTACTGTGTCAATACCAGTAAAGTCTTTATTTTGAACACTACCTGAGTCTGAGTTGAGTCGTGCATTTGAGTTCATGCCTCAGAGTTCACTCCTTGACAAGAAAGGCTTATTGACAGTGTTGGGATTCCAAGAGTGACAAAGAGTCTTGGCCAAAGATCTGCATAGATGTGGGTGACCCTAATGGATTTTAGGGTCAATTACACACTATAATGACAGCTTTCGGCAGCAGAAACGGGAAAAAGACTTCTAAGTGATGGCAGCAACAAGATAATTGGTGTTTTTAGGCAAAAGATAGTCTTCAAGTTATAACTTTCACTGAGCTGTATAAGACTGTGTTCAATCTTTCCATAAAAGATTCTTTTGAGCACTTGAGTTGGAGAAACAAGCTGTGCAAATATGTAAGCATGTAAATATAAGCTCGCTATTTATTAATCCAGCATAAGAAAGAGCAACATTAGCCTCATTTGGAGTTATATTTCTGGCCACATTTACTCCAATTCGGCCACTATTTAATCTCCTTTAAGCTCAAGTTTGGTCCTCACTGAATCCTGGGGAAAATATCTGGCTTACTAATTAGTTACCAGCAAACTCAGGTTGGCCATGTAGTCTTTTTTTCCGATTGGTGCGATACATTTAGCCTACATTTGAATGGCTTTTTTTTGCCAAAAGCAGCGTGTAGCATTAGAAAACATTGCGGAGAAGAGCGGTGGGTGTCCTAAAGAGTATATTTCCGAGTTGAAAGACCAAAACAACGAGCGATAAAACACTCAAGTGGTGGTGCTAACAACAAAGTTTACATGTTTCTATGTCTGCAAGTTAGCCCTATTTGAACTTATTTATACACACATATTTTGATCTGCAAATCAATGAAACAATGTCCCATAATTCAAGTTTTACGAACAATTTGCTTTCTCCAAAAGTACAGGTCTGACTTCGTATTAATGCTTACTTAAAATCCTTCATTTGTAAGCTATTATCGAAGTTTGAAATCTTGTCGGAGCAGATTTCTCTCTTTAGCTTTGAATATATGATATTCTGACAGCACAGGGAGTAAGGTATCCAATCTATCGTCATCTGAGGCTTCAGTACTGTCGCTCACTGTCTCTCTATATGATCCTACAACACCCAATGCTCCGGCTAACAAGCAGGAAAAGTCGGTCAACCTTATTACTGTAGCTTCAGGTTAGACATTGCCGAGGGTAGGCTCTGTGATGTGTTTCACCAAGAGTCTGGAATCTGATTCACACTGGCAGACATTCTTCAAAACTCCACTGAACACACAAAAATCTGCCAATTGGTAATTCAAATGGAAGACTGGATAAGCTGGCTTCTGTACGGAGCGAAATGCTCTTTTCACAAGCCCTTGAGATTCCTGTGGATAAAAGAAAGATCCGAGGCAACCAAGAAATATGTTAAACGCCTTTTATTCTTTCCGGTTTTCCTTAATCATAGGTCAAATCAGAAAATTGAAATCCTTGGCTTTTTGTTCCAATTGATCTCTTTTTTTCACCTCTATACCAGAACATTTGACCTGATATATTTTATTTTGGTGCAGTAAATGTGTATGTGCATGTATTTCTTTTTTCCAGGGAGAATTCTTCTTTTTTCTTTTTTTTTATAAGCTGTCATGTTGATCGTTCCATATTAACATTTCTGGCAGCATACATGAGTCAGAAATGATGCTCTGGTGGAAAAAAATACACTTCAGTTCCAGTCCCTTTAGCTGCCTGCTGTGGGAAATTCTCTCGCTTATCCTGGTAAAGGACTTGTTGACATTGCAAGCTGGGCCAATGTTGCAGCTCAGCGGATATTTGGCCACACCAAGGGACTGTGAGGCTGAATCCAGGAGTTGGCAGCGGGGATATTTGGAGACTTCAGCTACTGTAGGCTTATTTGACATAAGCTCTAATCGCACAGGACCAATTACAAACTACCTGGAATCCTGTGGTGACTTATAATGACTGCTGAGAATGTTGGAGGTTTTACTCACGTCCAAATCAGATGTGCTTATAATACAAGCCCAAAGACAAATGTCTCCAGAGAATATCTGAACTTTTGATTGGTTCACGGTTTCGCTTCCTCTCATGGACACCTCATTTGTACGTTTTTGTGGTCTTTGTAAATTGAGGCATTCACCGAATTGAAGCCTTATCGCCCAGTGCTTCACAAAAACACAGAGGTAGGGGAGTATTTCATTAATCAAATGAGATCTCTATGTAATACCTTATGTTAATGGGGGTAATGTCACAGCCGCTGCCAAGGCACAAGCGTGAACAAGCCACCGCCAGTGTGAATGAGGTATGTAACATTTGTAATGCCAAAGCGAAGAATAAAAGATTGAAGTGACAAAAACACAATCTGTAGCCCACACATTGACTGTAAAGACCATCTGAGCCCGGTCTCTCCTTTGACGTGATGTTTCTCATCCCGAGGTGCTGATTATGATCTGCTGACTGTATGATTTTGCGGGTATTGGTGGTGACAGCAGCTCAGGAGCTATAGCGATGAGAAGTTGAGAGAAGATTTGGTGAATCCTATATATTGTGGATTCGATTTTACAGTCTGTGAAACAACATTTGGACCAGGATGCACGATTTGTCTCTGTAGACCAGCAGGAAAAGAAGGTATAAGTGGTCCCTTATTAGCATTACTGTTAACAACCAATGACCAATAACAAAGGCAAAACTTTGATCTATAGATGGCAACTTGATATCTTTAATGCACAAATGATTTGCTACTTTACAAAAAAAAAGAGGCTTTCTTTATAAATTGCCAGACATTTAAAACCTCTTAAGCCCCACGGACCCGATTCCGGGGCCGAAATCGCGTCATTTGCAGGAAACAACGTCTAAGGAAACTTAATATTTAATAAACTATGAATATGTTATATCCATATAATGGGAAAAAACTCATTTAACTGATCTTTTTCATTTTTTTTTCTCCAAAAAAACCAATGCTAACAGTGAGCCTCTGAATTAGCCGCACCAAAAATCACTCCAAGCTCCCTTGTTACTTATCCCAGCTGCACATCCAACATATCGTTTATGATCGTAAAGACACAGAATCTAACGGTGCCCACCTCAACACTGAAAGATACAAACCCGCAACGTTATCAACAAAAACGTACATCAAAACAAGTGGCGCTAGTTAGCCCACAACGCTAACATTGCTTACCTTGGTTTTGTCTGGTCAAAACTGGTCTTCAATGGCATTAAAACGATAACAACGACGATGTAGATAATCCATAGGTTAATATCCAATGTGGCTGTGTCCCCTTTGAAATGTTCTGATAAGCAATAAAACTGCAATTCCGTTTTAAAATAGTAGAGCAGGCCATTCCTACGCTCTGTAGCTTCATTGAATGCGCGAAGACGCCATCTTTTTTTTAAGATGAGTGTGTGCAGGACGATTTCCCTTCGATTCTATTGGCTCTAACGGTCAGAAAGAGTAGAATCGAAGAAGGGGGGCCAGAGATAAGGAAAATCCACCCAAATGGCCCCAGAAGAAGTTGTTTTTGCTAAATCTGTCTAAAAAGGTCAAATATCACTTGTTTTGCATCAATCTTGATACAGGGTACTTATTATATTTTGTAATTTGGATTCCTAAAGCTTTTAGTCTACTAACCCATCATCCAAGGTTAGTTTTCACTATAAGTACAAAATATATTTTGGACGGACACTATAATTTACAGTTTTTTACCATGTTCAATCTGAATTTTCCTTAAATAAAANTCTCCATGCTGTGATGTTCAAAAAGCTCTTTATTTTCCTCATATTGCCTGTGCTGCAGCACCTCTGCAGACTGGGCTCTGGTTTCAGACAGAGGGTGAAAAGAGGTGCTGCAGCACAGGCAATATGAGGAAAATAAAGAGCTTTTTGAACATCACAGCATGGAGACATGTCACAGTAGAGAGACTACATACTAATATGAACCTGAAAATGGGCAGAATTTGGCCCCTTTCAAGCCTAAATTGCCATGTATCTGATCTAAATATCAACAACTCAGTTCAGTGTTTCTACTTCAAGCTTTCGACACTTCAGCTTCTTTGAGCATGTTTGCTTATGCTTAAAACTCACAAAGCTTGCTTTTCAACAGTGCGTTTGCTATGCTTCAATTCTGAAGTACGTGCCCAACAATCAAAAACACAGGATATGTGAGGCAGCGCGACATACGCACATGCAAGAAAAAAAGTTAACTCTGCCTTTAAACTGAAGCTCAGCTCATATAAGTTCCTTTTACCATTTTAACTTCGACCTAAATGTTACCCTGCAGCTTATTTTGGCCTTCATAGGTTAAAAATATCCTTTCTAACCTTACAGCGGATTGTAATTACACGTTCAAAGTTATATTAAAATAACAACCTGTTCTCTCCTGGTTTCAGTGTGTGTGAGGACGGTATGCGGCAGGTGTGTGAGGAGGAGGTGCTTCCTGTCCTGGTCGACCTGCTGCGGGACGAAGACGTAGAGGTTCAGGCCAACGCTGCCGGAGTCATCATGTACGCTGCGATCATCAACGAAGGTACAAACTCTCACCTTGACGCTTTTTTATCACCGCAAATTCCTAATTCAAGGTTTTATCAGATTCATGTTCAGACCTCAAGTTTCAATTATTACAACTTTGTTTTGGGGGTTTTATTCTGTCTATAAAAAATGCAAATACACAAATAAAGCCTCAGTTTATGTTGCTATAGAGTAAAAAAGAAGGAACAAATCTGTCTCCATGGTTTGGTTTGATCTCAAACTGCAAAAAAAAAGGTTTATTGAGTAAACAGATTTAGGAGCCAGAGACTGTAGGTTGCAGCTGACGTTGCTGTTTTCTGTGGGACAGCAGTGCTTTCAGGCAAATAGTGGAGCAAATGAAGTCAGAACAAACTGCTATGTTTGCCGATAATGTCGTCTACGGTACAGCTTTACAAAAGCCTTGCAACAGCTTAATGGTTGCGTTTTCCCCGCACTGTGGCACTGATTTTCTAATCTGTTGTCCCCCACATTTGTTAATTTTTTGTTGTTTTGATGATTCAACCGGGAGAGTTTGTGCTCTGTCTGAACCCTAAAGCTGGAGTGAGGAACTTTGGTCCCCCCTTCTGAAAGTGAGAGTAATTACACAAGCAATGTCAAAGCTCCTTTTGACATAAGCCTGCATGTAAACTCGCCGCATCCCTGTAGACTATGATAAAATGTTGGAGCAGAAACAGACGTGTTTACAGTTAGGTACAAAAACGTTTAGACCTCTCTAGTAACTTCTACGGTGGCCGACAGGAGCATGCTTGCTACAACGGCCAAAACACTTCCATAAGAGGAAAAACGCGCTGCAATTTCAAAAAAAGCGATGCAAATATAAAACTCAAATGTGACAAAACACATGCAAATGAAGAAACATCTTCACCATCTTGACAAACCAGGCACAGCATTTACTTAAAGCACTGCAAACACAAAACGCTGCAAATTAAAACGCTGCAAATAAAAAACCCTGCAAGAACTTCAAACACAACTGAAACGGTAACACTAAAAAGTGATGCACAGAGCTGGGGCAGATTTAGCCTGTTTCATAATCTTACCTGTTTCATCAGTTCATTTGAGATGACTAGCTAGCTAGTTTACAGTAGATCTGCAATAATATATAATAAAGTAATTATGCGACCATATTGTTAAAATAAGCCCATTAAACTTACATTTTAGGTAACCAACAATAGTGACAGTTGGCCAACAGCGTTTCGTTGTGAGTAATGTGGCAAATTGGTGATGATGTTTCTTAATTTATACATACACACATGTATTTGCATCATTCCTGAAGCTGCACCGCATTTCTCCTAATAGAACTGTAATGCCATTGCAGCGTGTCATTTCCCTATTCATCACAACTGTACGGGCAGGTGGATTTTTCTTCTGGATCATCAACTCGAAAAACCTTTCTTTGACGCATCGATCTAACGATTGTTTCAATAGCTTTGGCCATACTGACCATAGGTAGGGCAAAGAGCCTTACAGTGAACACAGATAGTACGTTTGATTTATATGGTTACTATTTACTTGAGTTGTAGAGTAAATGTACTTGTTGACTCTACATCACTGATTGTAGGTAAGCGACAGTGTCTGGACCTGGACGTCATACCCATCCTCCTCAGTCTGGTGTCCCAGGACGGAGAGGAGGAGAAGGACAAGGAGAGGAAGAAGGCTCTGGTCATGTACTCCCTGAGGGCCCTGACCGCGCTGGCTGAAGCTCCGCAGGGCCGCTGCCTCCTGCTGGAGCAGCTCCCCCTGCTCGGGAGGAGGAGCGAGGCTGCAGAGGAGGACCAGGACATCCGGAGGAACGCTCAGAACGCAGTTAGGGTCATCACCTGGACTCCCTGCAACACTGGTGACCTCTGACCTCTAGAATACAGCTGCTAGCCAGCCTCAGCTTAACAGATAATAAATAATTTTATGAATTATTAATATTTTTATTCTTTGCAACACTACAGTTGAAATGGGCTCAATAGGGTCAAATCAGATTTCTTGGAGGACTAATCCATATTTTCCAAGGGTCTTTCATGTGTTTCAACTTTAAAAAGTATTCTTTACAAATAGATATCAGTTGTATGGGTGGTTCATTTTGTACATTGAAAACAAAGTAGCTGTGTATGGCCTGTTGCACTCTGATTGGTTTGTACATGATTGGGATGGGTTGGCATGGGAAGTGAGGTTCGTTGACGGTAAGAATATCAGGGTAAGCCAATCAGAGGCATGAATATATAAAATCAGTTTGGCAGACTGGGACTAAAAATCAGCCCGGGCATCTCAACCGGCCCACTTCGGTACCGCTAGTAAATTGTCAAGGGGGGGAGGGTGCTAGTGGCTTATCCGACCGGCCCACATCGTCCAACCAGCCCACTTCGGTACCGGCCTATCGGGATTCGCCCCGAACTACCCTATGGCCAGTCCACCACTGCCCCGGTGTGTAAGGGAACTCACAAAGTGTCAGAAAACAAAACCCTCTCTCTTTCCCTCCGTACCCAAATCTCTAAAAACGGGGGTACAATGGAGCTGATCCAGATTTGCGTCCGATATGACGTAATATCGGAAATGTGGACCCACGGCACTATCAGAAACGTCTCTATCAGAAACAATGCCCGACTGTTTTGGACGTAATATGGTCTTTGTTTACATTAGCAAGCATCGCTAACACTCAGAGCTAACCTGTACTGGAGAGAGCATGTGTAAAAAGCAGAACATATAAAAAGGAACTCACCTTGTGGTAAACCCGCAAAAAAAAAAAGAAGCATTTGAGCTCCATACTGTTTCAGTAATAATCCTTGATGTGGTTTGGAACATAATATGGCATGTAATCACGGCAGCATTTAGCTGAGTATCTCGTAGAATTCATTAGCTCCACCTCCTCTTTTTTTTTTCAAGCTAAGGACCCCGAACCTGCAGTTCTCTAACAGGGCTGAAATAGAGGGATATGAGGGATTCCTAAAATGCATGATCTGTTTGGTATTTTGAGCAAAACATATCATAGACATGTTTTTTTATTTATTTATTCGCTGATGTTGCCTACAACCAAGCCACTATGGGTGGAGAGAATTTTGCTGGGAAAGAGGTGCATTAGGAGGAGCAGATGTAGGCATCCTTTCTGAGATGGTCAAACAAAAGCCAATGATGATCACCTTGGTGGATATATCCTTTCTGCGTTCTGTTCTGCTCTCCCTTTTCATTCCCAAAGTGCGACTTTTCACTGGAATGTATAACTACCAGCTGAAACTGGTTGGTTGACATCATGAAACTGTACAGATGTGTGGTTGTGATCAAAATGAAGTTTAAAGATGGCCGTGGTCTGGGAAAAGGTGGCAGAAGTAGTAGGGAAGACTTGGCATTGGGGCTGGTGTGTGTTTCTAGTTGTTATTGATCATTCCTTTACAAAGCATATACATTGACCAGCAGGTGATAGAAGTGAGCAAAAAGTACATGAGAAGAGCCTGTGGCAGTATCCTCGACAGCCTGGAAGGAGACTGCTACAAAGTGAGTGCTGAGTAATTCATATATACTGGCTTTGGTGCCAGCATTGTTCACATCCATGCTCAGCACTAGATTTCTTCCTGTCTTTGCTGGCATATTGCAGCATATCTTGGCCAACACTTACAACAAGTCGTTAAACTGTGCATTGCACCATGCATGCATGTCCTCATGTGTTTGCAAGATAAACAACACAGGAACAGAGAGGAGAGGGAAATCATTTAAAGGGGCTCTATATTATGCTTTTATGGATTTGCCCTTTCCTGTTTTTTGTGTTCTATAGGTTTTATTTGCATGTAAATGGTCTGCAAAGGCTAAAATCCCAAAGTTCCCTCCACAGGGGGTTTCTCTCCCAAACACCCCCCCCTGCCTGAAAACATGGAGTGGCCCCATTAGTTCCGATGAGAGTTGCTCAGTGGTGCCTGAAGCCCAGACTGGAGCGACTGTAGATTTAAAAAAATACCCTGTGATCTATGATCTGGGCCCATAGAGCATGCACACTTGATTCTTCCTATGCCCCAAGCCTGTTTTTCAGGTTTCAGGCTCGAAAATGACATTCCCAGAACAAATGACCATATCTTCCCTTCTAAAAGGGTTAAATTAATAATCTTTTTTCTCAAAGTAATGATAAACCTGTGAGTTGGATGTAGAAAAGTCAGAATCAATATAGATGTTTTTTATTTTAAAGAAAATTCAGATTGAACATGGTAAAAAACTGTAAATGATAGTGTCCGTCCAAAAGATATTTTGTACTTATAGTGAAAACTAACCTTGGATGATGGGTTAGTAGACTAAAAGCTTTAGGAATCCAAATGTACAAAATATAATAAGTACCCTGTATCAAGATTGATGCAAAACAAGTGATATTTGACCTTTTTAGACATATTTAGCAAAAAAAAACTCATCTGGGGCCATTTGGTTGGATTTTCCTTATCTCTGGCCCCCCTTGCTCGATTTTGACATGTGACATCTCTTTCTGACCGTTAGAGCCAATAGAATCGAAGGGAAATCGTCCCGCACACACTCATGTTAAAAAAAAGGTATTGCAGTTTTATTGCTTATAGATTATCAGAACATTTCAAAGGGGACACAGCCATATTGGATATTAACCTATGAATTAACTTCAGCAGTGGTTCTCAACGAGCTCCCGCTAGGTGGTACGCGGAGGATTACATTTTCTTTTTTTAATTTTTCTTTTACCTTAATCTTTATCTTGCACATAACACAGACATAAAAAATACAGAAAACACAACAAAGTAAACAAAAAGACGAAAAGCAGTCACTACATTGTGCACATTAGGACAGTAAGAAAGGTGCACTACTTATTACTGCAAGAGCAGCTGGTGGTAAGGACCTCAGACAACTTCCATTTAAAACAGGCTATAGAGAACCACAGTGACGCGTCATAAAACCCGGAAGTAAACTTCTTCCGGTTCCTTCGTCAAAAACCAATGCAATTTCTCCATAGGATTTTGGAAAATAGCTCGAAATAAGGTCTGTGGTTGACACACATTTAAGAGAGGGATCATGTTTTGTTCAGCCGGATAATCTCCACATGTCAACCCTACTTTTATAATTTTTGAGTCCTAAATCTAGTCGCCAGAAGCTAAATGCTAACGTTATGCTATAGACGAACTACAAGCCAGTACAGCAGCAGGGTCGCACGACTTCAACGTCACGCCAACTTAAGATCGTTTCAACTGACTTGCACTGAAACTGCACTTTGAACACTTTAAATATATTAACATTTTAAACTGTATACCCCGGTTATCTAGGCCCTTTTTGTTTTGTTTTATGTATACATGTCACACTGTGGGAAACGATATTTCGATATTTCTGGATGTATAACA